AAGCCTACCCATCGTCAAATTTTTGCAGAATAAAACTTCTGACGACGAAGCCTGGAAAGGCTACGAAACGTCAATAAATAAATAAAGTTTCGTGCATTATCCCGTTTAAACTAGTTTTATTTAATGAGTGATGTGCGTGAAAACCTAAGAAACAAATAATACCATGGTGGTGGTGCTATTGATGCTACCCTGTACTGGTATTCCACCCAATGTTCCACATGTCGCACATGAAATGGAACACTATAATAACATAACTCAGGGTTTGCTCAAAAAAAGCAAATTGATACACTACAAATAAAATTGTTTTTTTTCTTCAGCACTTTTTACGAGTTCCGATAGTGTTCATATCATGTGCGAATATGTGCAGGATTTAGTAATATTTTTCCGAAGCATCATGCAAATGTGCACACATCTATAGTTTAATAAAATTCTTGAAATCGGACGTTATTTAGAAAAGGTACTTATTCATATCATCGATATATTATCATTACCATAGTGGACTTAGGAACATCACTAATTTTAGTTCCATGCCAAAATGGCGAAACTCAAATAGGTACAGAAATATTATGACGGCAGCCAGTCCAGTGTGTAAAATACAGGTCAGTTATGCAAATACATTATTATGTGTTATACTTAAACGCTCACACAAATTTGTTTTTATTCAGTCAGGGGGCGCTCACTGATCAGTGCAGCTCAGCCACAAACAAATCATACCGAGTTTCTGAACGAATCTGTCAATGTCAAATATTCAAGACTGTCACTCACTGACAGACATGCCAGTGTGTGCGTTCTCAGAACAGTACATAACCTTTTTTCGCGTGGACGGTGGACCTTGTTTTTGTTTTTCAACTTTCATTAAATTAATTACGTATAACAGTAATAAGTTTAGTGTACAAAAGATGGAAAGTGATAACGAATTACCTTCTCCTTCTACAACGCCAAGAAAGAAAGCCAAACTATTGAAGGTACAACAAAAATACATATAAGCACGAATGGGAATGCCAATATGACTGGTTAACGAGTGATCCTCTATGCGAATTTACAAATACAAATACAAGCGCTTTATTTCCATACCTTATTATTGCATTATTATTATTATTAAATATGAGTATTAAATATGAGTTGGAAAAAGGAGTAGGCACAGCGCAGCTGGTTTTAAGCCTACCCATCGTCAAATTTTTGCGGTTAGTTATAATTCAATTTAAATAAAATTATTATTAATAGCCAATTAAATGTCAAATATATTAATTACAATGTCAATTCATTTAGATGACATTCAAAGCTTAGTCAATTCAATGTCACGTTATATTTAAAATGTCATATTTTTTACTAGTCAATTACAATTTATATTATTCTTACGTACAATAAATGTTAAATATATTAATTACAATGTCATTTTTTACTTGTCAATTAATTACAATTTATATAATTCTTAGACACAATAAATAATAATAATAATCCAGGTAAATTAATTAATTTAGTACATCTACAATTAATGACTCTACAATTGAATTTAATGCTAAATGCAAAATATGTGCTTCAACATTTACTATTTTTCACGCAGGTGTTGGGCAGGTTTGTTACTTTTGTTTGCATCCTGCTTGCTTGATCTCCTCTTGTCTCTTTTCTGATATGCATAAATTATTAGATATTTAAGTAACGATTTTGCATAAAATATATATTTTGTTTCCATGTTTTTAGGTTAAACAGCACTTGACGAGCAAAAAAATGAGAAAATCTAGTGGATTGTTACAAAAGTTTTTTCCTAAAACTTCTGCTTCCACATCAGGCTTGTCTTCCCCTACTAATGAAGATACTAAGTTCAGCCGAGTTAGCGACGACGTACCATGCTGTTAAGCATAAATTATCGTACAATAGCCAGAACTGTAATATCAAATTAAATAAGATTATCTAGGTTGATTCCAAAACAGTCACTAACATACGATTGGCTAGGACAAAAATGGAGGCATTAGTGACTGAAGTTCTTGGCCCACACTCCTTGCAGTCTGTTATTGGCCAGTTAAATAAAGACAATATATTTTATAGTCTACAAACTGATGCCTCCAATAAAAAAAAAATATTAAATTGTTTCCTCTGGTACTTCAATATTTTACCCCTAAAAATGGAATACAACAAAAATGAATTGATTTTTATGATAAGCCAAATCCATACTGTTTATCAAGGAAATCCAGGAAAAAATGTTCTTATTTTAAGTACTCTGCACCCCAACGTGAGCATAGGTACTGATCAAAAAAAGCTACCGGAGACAATTTACCTGACAAAATTTAATTTTATAATGGAACAAAATTTGGTTTAGACGTCATCGATAAAATGGTATGCAAATACACCGTAAGATCTGGAAGTCGGAGATGCCCTGTTCACGTTTTTTACAATATACTTGATTTAGCAGCTATAAACTCGTGGATTCTGTACAGAAAAGTCACAGGAATAAACATTTCTCGGCATGATTTTATCCTTCAACTAGTGAGCGATCTACGTGCAGAGTATGTAAAAAAAATCTACTTCAACTGCGACTCAAAGACAAGAAACTAATTCTGAAACAAGTGTACGATGTACTATAAACAATAAGAGGCGGCAATGTCAAATCAAACATAATTAAAAAAAAAACGTGTGAAAACTGCACTTTCTGTAAAAAAGCTGTTTGTGGAAAATGTATAAAAGTTTAAAAAAAACTATTACTTTTACAAATATTACTCAGTTTAAGTGCTAAAATTGTTTATCATTAATAAAATAATAAATTGATGTTATTTTTATTTTATTTTATACAATATACGCAAGTATTTCATAAGTATTCTGACTGAATCTTTAGTACAGTCAAATTGACCGCTGCGGTCTTTGAAAGTAAAGTATGAAGCCGGCCCTTCTCGTGTTAAATATTTTATTTTAAATCCAAATACTATAGTTCTAATATTACCACAGGGGCCCATAATACCTACCAAAAAATAATAAATTACGCGCCATTACTTACAACGGACATTTTGGTTTTTGAAACTAATGGGCCTACCACACGCACGAGCTTCACCACAGTTTTGCCTGCGCAGGCCGGTTTGTACACGGAACACGGTGCGTGTAGTTGGTAAAACTGTATCACGCGCCAACCCCATAGCACAGCGCGGCCTGCGCACTTTTCGACTTGCTTGAAATTTTGCCTGCGCAAGCCCAGCCTGCGTGTACTTGCCTGTGCGTGTGGTTGGGCGTTCAGTGTTCAAGCCACAGTCGAGTGTACTTTGTGTCGAGGCTCGCTCGTCGTTTCATGAGGTCGTTCGTCATCGTCACTCAAAAATGGCAGATTTGAATGAATGAATCGCGAATTCACGTCTGAATTAATTAGTTTATACAAATCTCTGCCTGCAGACTGGAAAATTAAATCTAAAGATTATTCCGACCGAAATAAAAAGAACGACGCCTACGAAAGAATGATAAATATAATGAAAGAGGTAAGAAAATAATTTTTTCAACTAAATGCCTAATACTTACCTACTTGCACATATTATGTACATATCCTATCGTTTTTACATGTTTTTGACAGTAATTCTTGAATTCTTTTTAGGTCGAACCTGCAGCTATGAAGGATACTGTAAAGAAGAAAACAAATTCTCTTGGAAGTTCCTATAGGAAAGAATTGAAAAAAGTGAATGCTTCCATAAGATCTGGCCCTGCCACGGAAGTTATATATGAACCATCGCTATAGTATTTTCCCCTGCTAGATTTTTTAAAGGATCATGAGACGCCCAGGCAGTCAAAGTCAAATTTTAATGACACACTTTCCCGGGTCCTACATATAATGTTTGAAATTTATACGTGTCTATACACAGTTAGGGACACGAAAAATGTATCGATACTTTGTGGTATCGAGTACTTTTCCTTTTGATACCGATACTTTATATTCGATACTTTTACTAAATGAGTACATTTTGGCAAGTATCGATACCTTTAAAAATTTGAATAAACGCCTCATATTGATGGCAAAGCCATCTAGTTGAATCAAAGCAAGCCTTCTAAAACATTCCATTGCGTAGATATAATTGAAAACACAAGCAATCTAGGGTGTCCTGAGACGAATAGATGGCGCCATAGAATTAGCTCAGTAAGTAACTGACACATTCAAATTCTTTCCATTCTGTGACTGAGTTTATTTTGCGCTTTGTTGTTTCAAATTTATTTATTTAGCGACCACTATAATACGAACTATGATTGTTTGTTTATTGTGCTTTTCGCTTGACCGTATTTGATTTATTTAATTGTAACACTATTATTCTGTCTGTGCTGTGTTTACCTATTTGAAACATAATTATTAGAGAAATGCCGCGTAGTAAGACTGAACTATGGCAATATTTTGTCGAGATAAACAGCAACGATGTAAAATGCAAGATTTGTGTCAAAACCATAAAATCGTCAGGAAATACGTCAAACATGAATAAACATTTAAAGAAACACCCTACTGCGACGAGGTATGTTTTAATTATTATTGTACTTTGTATTGTAAACCTAAGGACTTAAGTGAAAATTTAACGTGATCTTGTTATATACCTACACTTACGAATTCTACGAGCGTGGTTCGCTAGGCTGGTACATATAATAGTAAAAAAAATCTTAACAGTATTTGAATACGAGCTTCTGCTCGCAACTTATTTAAGTTATAGCCTATATGTTATTCTGATGTATGAGCTATACTATAGTGAAGTTTCGTTAAAATCCATTTAGTAGTATAAGCGTGAAGTAGGTAGTAACAAACATCCACATATGGATATATCCATATAAACTTTCGAGTTTATAATATTAATTATATTCGTACTTAGTCCGAGATAATGTTGTAGTATCGCCTTTTCGTGCTACTTAATACGCGAGTTTCAAAGACACCTCTGCTGTCAACAAACATCATTCGTTTTTCGCGCTTAACGCATTTGACACCTAATTTTTATTTCTTTGGATTTTTCATATTTTAAATAGTTTAAAGAATTCTGATTTATAATAAAAACATGCCGAAACGTAGTGGTGATAAAGAGAATAGAAGGGCGAAGAAAATAAGACGCCTAGAAAAAAAAATAGCCAAATACAAAGAAAATACCCAAGATGGCGAAACAGGTACTTTGTTTATTGCGTCGTAACATATAGATTGTTTTATTTTAGTCAACAAGAGTGCTTACAATTTTGAACTAATAAAGTATTTAGTTGATATATTAATATATTACTGCCTGTTTACCCTGGGTAAGCGTTAACGAGGCAATTGTGTGATTTCTTGAAATCTTTACTTTGCATTTTCGCGTGGCGATAATGTGTTCTGTCCGTGGGACAGAAATGGGTCCATAATAATAAATTAATTCAAAGCATAATACATCATTTACCTGTGTGTAAATATTTCAGCCTCAACACATGAAAGTGACCCTGAAATTTGCTCAATAATAGAGTATGTGGATCAGAATTACTGTGAAATTCGAGAGTTGGAATCTCATAATATCTCTGAGCAAACTGAAGAGTTAGACAACTCTATTCTATCAGCACTGGGTGAAGCACCCACCAACAAGACTCTATATGGAAATAAGATACATGAGGAGATATATAATGCATTCAAAAATATCCTCACGGAGGGCTTGTCTAAAGAAAGAAAAGTAGAGATTTTGGAGACACTCCAAATACCCGGAAACTGCAAATTGTTAGATGCACCGAAACTTAACATGGAAATTGTGGGAGTTCTTAATAACCCCTCCAAGACTCGTGACAAGTTGCTGGAGGAACGTCAAAAAGAAATGGGTCTTGCAGTAGCGGGAATATCTCAAGTTCTGAATGCTATCTCAAAATAGGGTTTTGATAAATTATCCTTAATCAAAATATTCAGTGTGCTACCGTTATAACAGCAAATACTAAAAACAGAATAAAATATATTTTAAGGGCTCCCATACAACAAACGTGATTTTGTCATTTTTGCTCTACTTTAGTTACGGCAAAAGGTAGACGTTTGAAATATTCACGGAACATTTAGTTGTATATTCACTTTAAAAATAAATAATGAAATTAAAATAAAATAAATATTTAAGGGGGGCTCATGTATAACAGACGTGATTGTTTCGCTGTTTTTTGCTCCATAATATATTTATTTATTTAAACTTTATTGCCACAATTACAAAAATGGACAAAAGGCGGACTTAACACTAAAAGCATTCTCTGTCAGTCAACCTTTAGGCGTAGAGAAATTTACGAATGCGGCTTTATTAAAAAAGAAAAAAAGTGATTAACTATAAACATACACCAATAAAAGTAACTACATAAATATTAACTTAAAAAACCCTAAATATACGTGCATAGAATACATTTAAATATATATACAATATTTATAATATATATATATACACATACATACATACATAATCATTATTAACATAGTTTATAAAACATATTGATGACGAGACTGTGAAGGGAACTTGTGAGTAAAGTTTAGCGTTATTAGCTTTCTAGGAGAAGTTCATGAACTTTCTTCTTAAAAATGAACCTATTAGGTGACCTTCTAACAGAGTCAGGGAGGCTGTTCCAGAGTCGTGAAGATTGAAGGGCAAAGGAATCAGACATATAGCCAGAGTGAAAGAGAGGAAGAGATAGTGCAAGAGTATCAGTAGAACGAAGTTGAAGGTCATGTGAGTCACAAAGATATTGAAATTTGGATCGTAAGTATTCTGGAGAGTGAGGGTTGAACAGGATAGACTATAGAGTACAGAGCATATTCTGCTGCCTTCTCTGACGTATGGGAAGCCATCTAAGTTGAGATCTGAACGCAGATACGTGGTCAAATTTACGTAGGCAGAAGATGTAACGTATGGTTATGAGACATTGTTGATGAGACGATCCAATTTGTTCAGAAGATCAGCATTCAGATCGGGATAGCAGACATCAGCATAATCAATGAGCGGGAAAATGAGAGATGTAACAAGTAAAATTTTTGCGTTGATAGGGAGAAAATTTCTAAATCTATTTAAAAAACGAAGTGAGTAAATAACTTTGCGACTTACTTCGGCAATTTGTGTGTTCCAGCTAAGAGAAGAATCAATGTAAAGGCCAAGATTTTTGACATTTGTGCTAAAAGGAACAATCGTGTATGAGACACGACAGACCGGAGAGACCTATGATCAATTTTGGCAATTTGTTTAGAGCCACCTATGATAATGGCCTGACATTTTGATGGATTCACCTTAATTCCAAAATCGGCGGACCAAGCACTAACACGTTGCAAGTCATGGTTTAACATTTCGATGGCCATATTAACGTCCTCAGCTGACGTCTGAGTATAGATTTGTAGGTCATCAGCATAGAAATAGTAATAGCAGCAAAGCGAGAAGGAAAGGAGGTTAATAAAAACAGAAAAAAGCAAAGGAGAAATTATCCCACCCTGGTGTACACCAGCATTTAAATCGTTCCAATTTGATAGATCTTGCTTAATGCGAACCGCTTGTTGACGACCACGAAGGTAAGAGGAGAACCAATCCAGTGACTCTGATGAGAAGTTAAGGGATTTAAGGATGGCAAGGAGAATATCGTGGTCAACCATGTTAAAAGCGTTGGAGAAGTATATAAGTACGATGACTGTAACCAACTGTTTCTCCTTGCCCATCCTGACATCTTCAGTAACTTTGAGCAGAGCCGTAGTAGTGCTGTGTCCCAGACGAAACCCAGACTGAAACAAAGTGAGAAGATTATTGGAAAATATGAAAAAAGATACTTGGTGATGAGCAACGGCTGCAAGAACTTTAGAAAGAAAGGGAAGGATGGAAATAGGCCTGTAGTTATTAAGTAGCTGAGGAGACGAGACTTTCGGCAGAGGAAGAATGAAAGCTTTACGCCAAGCTGGAGGAAAATCACCGTTAAGAAAGGAAAAGGTAATAATGTGTTCAATAGCTGGCAGAATATATATTGACTATCATTTCTCTGCTGACGTCATCCCATCCAACAGCTTTAGATTTAATTGACAGAATAATTTTGCGAATATCATCAATTGTCACTGGAGAAAAAGTAAAGGAACCAGAAAAAGATTGGGCTCTGGAAGTAATAGTTTTGATAGTTTTATTTTTAATATGTGGGTCGAGAGAATTGGTTGTGGAAAATTGATTATTGAAATCATTAAGAGAGAAAGGATAGGACCTAAGGCTGCGCTCACTTTGCACGCGTTTTCGTACGAATTTGAGTCGTGCGAACACGTACGAACACACACGAACATTCCCGACCTTCTGAGTACTATTAAAGCGCTCACACTGCGCGCGAGTTAGTCGTACGTATACGTACGTGCACGTCCGACGTTCGAAATCAATCCGAACTTGTTGGGATTTTATGACACGTTCGTGCGTTAATTATCAATAATAATGGATGTAGAAAAGTTAATTAACTTGGTTCACGGACATAAATCTTTGTGGGATCAAAGTGATAATAGTTATCACTTACGTGACATTCAGCGTAGGGCATGGCGTGAAATATCCGAAGAAATGGAAAAATCTGGTGAGTACATTTTATATTTTATTTTATGATAAACAGATAAGTATTGTCTTAAAATCAATTGTTATTTTGACAAAAATAGTTTTTGAGTGTATCCCTGATGTTGTGAGCTCTCGTTGCGCTTCTGTTTTCACCTGCAGTCATGAATCGGTTTCTGTTTTCATTTTGTAATTGTGGTAATTCCGTAGGCAAATCGTGGATACCCTCCTTATCAATAATTATGTTATGAAGTAAACATATGCACTTTACTATAACATCTGCACGGTTGGGATTTACTTCAATTGCTTTCAACAACAATCTCCATTTACTACTCAGAATGCCAAAGGCACACTCAAGAACCTGTCTTGCATTTGATAAGCGTTTATTAAATATTTCCTCTTCGGGACCCAAATTTCTTTGAGGATAGGGGCGCATGAGGTATGTCTTCAGAGGGTAAGCTTCGTCACCAACTAAGAAATGAGGCAAAGCTGTATCAGTTCCTGGTAATACTTTTTCCTGGTTTGTGTTGAGAGCACCATTTTCCAATAGTCTTGAGAGGTTTGAATGTGAAAATATTCCACCGTCACTTTCTTTGCCATAGGCTCCCACGTCTATAGCAATAAATCTGTAGTTTGCATTCACAACAGCTTGCAATACAATTGAAAAAAAGGACTTGTAATTTCGGTACATACTACCAGAATGTTTTGGCGCATTTATTCGTATATGTTTTCCATCAATGCTACCAGAACAATTAGGAAAACGCCATTTTCTCCAAAAGTCGTTATTTATATTGACCATATCTGCACGTGATGGAAATTTCATATGAATTTCATTAAGATTTTCCCAAATAGAGTTACAAGTGTCATGTACGATATAACCAACAGTATTTAAATCTAAAGAAAATATAACTAGAAAAAATTCCACGCGGACCAGGCAGCAGACGGGACTCGAACCCGCACCCTTCGCAATCCGTCTTTTACAAGTATTAAACATTTGAAAGAAGAAATAGCAATTATAGTTATAATTTTTTTATTATTGATGTGTGATGTGTTACAATAATAAAAAAAATATAACTATAATTGCTATTTCTTCTTTCAAATGTTTAATACTTGTAAAAGTATTCATTTGACATTGTGGGTTTACCTATAATGCGAAGAGATGGCGCTGCCTTGCAGCTTAAGAATAGCTAGAAGGAATTTCGACGCGGTCCGTGAGGGCCGCGGTAGCATAATTGGTCAGTGCATTCGCCCGGATTGCGAAGGGTGCGGGTTCGAGTCCCGTCTGCTGCCTGGTCCGCGTGGAATTTTTTCTAGTTATATTTTCTTTAGATTTAAACATCAAGCAGTTACATGCTTTAAAAATAATAAAAAAAAAAAAAATAAAAAAAAAAATATAACCAACAGTATTGTTTGAAATCCTAAATGTATATCCAAGTGATCTGAATGATGAGCCAGTGGCTAAGTACCTGTAATAATAAGAGATTTATTTATTATTTATTTTCAGTTGACGAGTTAAAAAAAAAATGGCGGGGACTACGAGACACTTTCGGGAAGGAACTAAAAAAACTCAACAATAAAAAATCTGGCCAAGCAGCCAATGCAGAACAATTCTCCAAGTGGCCTTATTTTCAGCTTTTGATGTTCCTCCAAAGTACAATGTCCAGAAGGGATCTCCAAGGTAACGTGCCAGATACATATATGAGAGTTCGGATGGGGAGGATAGTGTTAATACAAATTTAAGTTCTAACTACACACCTTCGCCATTACCTGGTCCATCTTCTGAACAAAGTGACCAAGAAATTCCAAAGCATTTTAAATCTCCATTGAAAAAAAAAAGCTAAAAGAAGTCAGCCACAGGAAATCGATGCAAAACTATTGGAAATTGAAGAGGAGAAATTACAGTACTTTAAAAAAAGTGCGAATGATCCTGATGCACAGTTCCTAATGAGTCTCCTCCCATTTTTAAAAGACATACCTAAACATCGTAAGTTAATTGTACGTTCAAGACTACAACAAGTACTTATTGATGAACAGAATGCTCATGCTTCATCTGTGGTACAGAAAGAAAGTTCTACTGATTTGGCTCAGTTCAGTGATGAATTAAATATGTCACCAAATACTTCGACACTAGGACAATCGCAACAACATTTTTTAATGTCACAACAACCATTAGCTGTAACTCACTATGTTATGCAATTCAATCCTGACTCAAATATTTAATGTACGACTGTCTTCATTTGAATAAAGAATTATTATATAAAACTATATCGAAAAAGCATTTTTTTACTTTCTTACCTTAAAGTGACAATTAATCGTTCTTCAGGTGATATTGTGTCGCGAAAGTTGCTGTATTTAGTCAGGTTAGGTCGTATTGCATTAAGAATGTACTCAAAAGTATCTCTCCCCATGCGTGTATAACCATAAAACAGTCTGGGGTCGTTATACAAATTTTTCATAATGTGATGAAATTCACCGAACTCATCTCTTTTTAAAAATATTTCGCGCACCCATTCGGTTCTACGATAACGACGACGGCGTCGCAATCTACGGTTTAGAAGATGATTGTCCAAAAGATAAAGATTATTCATTGCAGCAAAGATGACTTCACGTATGCGCTAACACCGGTGTACTGTCTATTTGACGAAGAAAAACGTATTCAGTGTGCGCACTCAATTCGTACGAACAGTGTTCACACGTTTACGCACGATCTAATTCGTATCCAAAGTGAGCGTAGCCTAAAGAAACCTAAAGAACGGAGAAAATTCCATACATTCGCCGAAGATGAGTTGCAGATATTGTCATGAAAATATTCTCGCTTTGCTGCCCTCACCATTCTGTTGCACCTGTTACGAGCTGTCTTATATAAGAACCAGTTAGTTTTCTTCCGACCTGTCGCGCTTGAAAGCACGGAATTGCCGATCTCGTCGCGTCATGGCTATACGGACACCTCGACTAATCCAAGGAGCAGGAGGTCGCTTAACTCTAACAGGTTTTAGCGGAGCATGGGCATCGTAAAGTTGGAGCACACATTGGTTAAAGTAGGAAACTTTCTCATCTATTGACGAAGCTCCAAACACCGCTGAAAATTCGAGCTTAGAAGCATCCCTCCTTAGTCTATCATGGTCCAATCGAGCAAAGTTCCGCATCCACACAACAGAAGGTTTAGTTTTTGGTGGTTTTAATCTATACTGCAAAAAGATAAGATCGTGTTTTGAAAAACCAGGGGCCGTAAGTTGACCGTGATTAATAACGAAATTAGGAGAAGTTAAAATTAAGTCAAGCCATGTGTCATGAGAAATGGTATGATGTGTTGGCCTAGAAGGCAGAATGGAGAGATTAACGGACTTGGCAATATCAAGAAGTTTAAGAGAGCGAGATAAGCTACACATTAGATCAGTATTGAAGTCACCCATAATTATGTGATGTCCGTATTCCGAGCAGAGTGGTTCCAGAACAGACTCAAGATGAGAGAAATAATCAACAGCGGGGGGAGAATAGACGACTCCTAGAACCACTTTAACTCCCTTGATGGAAACTTCTAGGAAGATGTATTCAGAACTGGAGTAGAGAGAGGGAGATGAATTAAGAATTTTATATGGGATGCCATGACGTAAGTATATGGCAACACTACCGCCGCCTTTGCCAGTACGATCATTACGGATTATAGTGTATCCAGGAAGTGAGAAAGAAGAAGAGGAAAAACAGGGTTTTAACCAGCTTTCCGAGATAAGAATAGCGTGAGTGGTGGCAGAACAAAAGGTTTCAATGAAATCTGAGTAATGAGAAGATATGCTTTGCGCATTTATATGACAGACGTTAAAAGCGTGAGGTACATTTTGGAAAGAGTTGTGTAATACTGAACCCAGTGTTTCCGGTTCTGAAAAAGAAGTGGAAGAAGAAAAGCTAAGGTCACGAGCGGAATGAAAAGAATCATCATCATCAGACATTACAATAAATAAATATAGCAAATAAATGAATATATAAAGAACTAAAAAAAACAACAATACAAGTTAAAACAAAGTAATTAAGTAACAAAATAATACTATTACTGTCCTGCCGGTTGCTTGACATTTACAAAATATAAAAAAGTGATATAATGACAACAGGGTCGCGTTCAGATCCCACGCTCCAGCTACAATAAATGCAAAATTAAAACGTCAGAGTAAAAAGTTGCACCTAGATCGCAGGCACCGAACGCAGGCCAGAGCGAGCCAAACACCGATATGCCGTGTATAGTGACGTTTTCATTTCATGTCAGTAAAAAATTATGTGTGTACTTTAAAAACAAGTGAATTGAAGGTACAATAAATATTAAAAAACTATTTAGACACCCAATGTTATATGTACCTGTAATTTCAAACTAACGCTTAACGAAAAACTACAAAATTCCTTATTAGAAAACTAATGGTGCCAAATAGGACAATTGAAAAACAAACCACTACTTTCTCGCCCTGGCTGCTCGCTTTGGCTTAGAACGAGACTCTGGGGAGAGCATTGCTGTTGGTGACCCAACCCCAGTTGCTGACTGCTGCGCCTGCGATGCACTTTCCTATTACTAAATATTTTCCCCTCGATTGACCAGCATCTCTTGATCCCAAAACGTTTGCGAGCCCGAATGAAAAGTGCTTGACGTTGACGTGTTAGGAACTCGGACAATGTATGCGGAGTACCCTTGAGTGCTGTCTTCTTACTGCAAACAGTAGATTTGATAGAAATATCGGTAAAACGCAACAACACAGGGCGACATTTCCCCTCTACTGATGCACTGCCGAGACGATGACAAACACTTAATTAAATTTAAAACTTAAACTAAATCCGAGGTCAGATCCAAGTCCATCTTGCTATTCAGTAGACATATGATGAATTTGTTAAGATCTTCAATAGTCTCTGGTATGCCGCCAACTAGGAGATATTTCTTGCGATGCCTCATTTCTATGTCATCGATGGGTTTGAGAAGCTGTGATACCTGGTCTCGCAGTAACATCAACACAGCCCATACCTCAGATTTGAAGTCACGGAACTCCTGTCTTAGTTGAGTAAGAGAACCATCATCCTTGGATTGTGGAGTAGAATTCCATTTACCCTCCAGCTCGTTCATCCTTAGTAAAAGTTTGGTTTCTAAAGCTTGCTGAGTCTTAAGAACTTTTGCAATATTGGCCATTGTTCAGTGAAAATTGTGAAATGAAAAATTATAGTGTGAGTAAAACCGGTCAGGACAGTTGGGTAAAATACTAAAAATTGCACATACACTGAGGATAATAGTACACAATGTCATATAATATAGTGTCTAATGTTGTAATAGATAATTGGTAGGTTCGGAACCCTTCGTGCGTGAGTCCGACTCGCACTTGGTCGGTTTTTATCTTATGTCCAACAGTCAACGATATAATATCGTTGCCGACAGTGGACAAATATGAGTTTCATACGACGTGACTAAGGTCTTATGCGAGGGGTGGGCAGCGGCGTCTTTCTTTGCATCATCTCCTTCTCAGGGAATGAACGCATCCGATGAAGCCTGTAAGGCCCTTATGGCCATAGACATCCCCCCACGAGTGTGTTTTAGTCAGTAAGAGTCTGACATAACCCTAGAGCCTGCCAGGGAGGAAACAAAAAAAGCAGCGCCTTTCGTGTAGATGTATCATCTCTGTTGATAGAACTAGGGTACAAAAATAGGCCAGTGTTTTAAAGCCTTGCATGTATGTATGCATTTTAATGCTGTTTTCATCAATAGATAGTGATTCAAGAGGAAGGTTTATAGGCAAGAATAAAAGGGTACGTAGGAGTAAAGTAGGTGAAGTAAAAGTAAAATAACGTTTTGCTTACTAAGTACATTAAGTATGGGTGGTGGTGGTAAACTTTCTGTCGCCCGGAAGATGTTACGGATAGGTAGGTATAAAACCTTTTATTAAGACTAAAGCTTGTGAATGTCTTTGGACATTTTGATTTACGTTAATCAATTAATAAAATAAAAAAAATGAATGTATACTTTCTGTTGAAGCTTTGCTTTGCGATTTAAAGGAAAATAAACGATTTAAAAATACCGAAGAAGCTTTGCTTTTACATGGGGGTTGAAACGCTGCCCATTGCCTGACACTAACATCACCCAGGTGATGTGACCACGTGTATCCAGATCGCCCGTTGGTGTGATGTACCGCATGAACAGCACTTCTAACTAAACCGGGTAATATTAATTCAGTATTTAAACTCACTTAAAGCAAGCGATTTAACCTGTAACTAACTAATTTAGATTAATATCTTTTCGTCAAGTTATTTATACTTTCTGGAATAAACAGAAATAAATGGATGTGAACAATTAATGTGTTGACAGTTATATTTCATTCTGAAATCGTTTGCTACTGTGTGTATGACGCATCCTAAATAAGTTTTGTACACAGTACTCCGTTGAGAGAGAAAACAAAAACTTATTGCAACATGAAGAATCATCTTTGCCTTGGACATGCTTTGCATAACCTGGTCACCGTTGATGGTATCCAGAGTACCGATGAGATTCTTTCACTGATCAATAAATGTAAGACGACAGTTAAACATTTGAGATATAGAGCACCGCAATTAGAAACGCGGCCAACGAAGAACAACGTGAACTGTTGTTGTCTTTTGAAACAATTGGCGAACATTCAGATAACACAGACGATGATAGTTATAACACGTCAGATGTCGACAGGGATGATTTATTATCTACAACAAGCCTCATTAAGGGCCCCACACATTAACAGTCCGCCTGCAGATATCAGCCTGTCAGTTAACCGCAATAGATCACAGACTCACAGTTCCCTCTACGGTTATGGACTGACGAGCAATGCAAATTTAGTAAGTGGCCGCTAGGCGGCGCAGGCCTGGGCCGACAGGTGGCGGCCGGACAGTCCGTGATCTCAAGGTCAAATCGAACACAAACTAGCATGTAGTCGGCCGGCGGCTTTTCAATCGTTATCGTCTGTCAGTTTACTGCCGAAAGTTTTTTGTTTGTTTTGCTTTGAATTTGCAATAATTATTCGGCAAAATGGACAACAGACCACTATTTATTACTAATTTCATTGAATTATATAGAAGTTATCCGTGTTTATGGAAGGTAAAAGATGATTGCTACCACAATAAGCGTTTGAAAGAAGACGCCGATGACAAATTATTACTTTATTATAAAAAAACAATACCTTCGCGCGCGCGGGCGCAATTATGTCTACGACATGAAACCTTTTTAGTTATTTAAGTTATGAGTTACTTTCTTATTTTTATGACATTGTCACTTGCATTCTTTAATTGTTACAATCCACACAAATATAATAAAATTACATTATAAAATATTTAAAATCTTTAATTATTACAAGAACCCAGTAGTATTCACACGGGTCTGCGTATACACCGCCGATCAAGAAATGCCACGAGATGGTATTGGAAGTGACATCAATGAAGCGGATCAAAATGAAACAGTAAGTAAGCATGTTTAAATAATTTATTTTAATTTACAAAATTATGCTGGAAGGATACGGCTCCGTCCTGCATAAAATATTCTTTATATTTGTCCCGATTTAATTTTGTGACAGCCGATAGTTGTGAACTCTATTAGGTGCGGGTTGGTTTCTAAACGGGAATGGTTTCATTAAGTATGGCTTAAGCGCAAATGCATCATCAGCTACAATAACAAACGGAAGCGATATCGAACTTCCCGGCAATGAACACGGGCTTGGAATGTTTATTAAATTATTTTCCAATGTTGAAAATAAAGATGTTTGAAAAAAAAAACTCCTCCATCAGAAACCCTTCCATTGCATCCCACGTTCATATAAATAATTTTATAACATGGGTCTGCCACTATCATCAGTACAATACTATGTGAGCCTTTATAGTTAAAGTAGAAGCTTCCGCTGTTGTCTGGTGCCTTAAAAACCACGTGTTTGCCATCCAACGATCCAATGCAATGCGGAAAATTCCATCTTTTATTATAAATATCAGCTATGTGCAACCATTTTGATTCAGTTGATGGGACCTGAAACAAATTTATCTTATTACAGAATAATTCTGCGGCTAGCTGCAGCGATAATTCAACAGGATCACAACAACCAAGTGTAGCACAAGATAATGACAAGGAAAACGTTGAATTTCCAAGGCCAAATCGTGCAGCAAAGAAAGGAAAAGATGAGGATATTTTGCGTAAATGCAACAAAATTTTATCCGATCCAAACGACGATGACCAGATATTCGGCGAATATGTTAGCTCAATGCTTCGGAGCTTCAGTAGTGCAGGCAATAAATTCGTCGAATCATACAAAGAGCTATTGTCGATATTCAAGATGAGGAGGAAGGTACATCCTCTCGTGGAAGTTCAACACAGTCAACTTTTTTAACCCTTCCAATTTATTCTCCGGTGTCTACTTTTTCTGAAAATAACGTACTCATCAGTGCCAATCAAGAAAACACTACTGACCGTACTTATGATGTCGAAGACCAACCGTTTGATTTCAGTATCTTGTAGTTAATTAATTATTTTAATAAATTAGTATTCAGTAACGTTTAACTTACTTTTAAATATTCCTCATGTAGAGTATCGTATAAAGCCTTGCATACTTCCGGAACTATTTTTGGTATAGTGCATACAGGAATTCTAAATAAATACATTAATGAATGGTATGAGTCTCCTGAAAAAGAAACAGAAATGTTCATTAAGAGTCGATTAGTCGCTAAACAATTGTCTCTGTCTTTTTCTTTACGTAAACTTCACTTTTGCGCATTTTCAACGTTTTTCGTTTTTGTTTTAAAAGAAATACACATAAAAAAAACTTAAACAGTAAAGCACTAGATCAATACAAGTTTAGTTATTATTCAAAATTTTATATTCCTACATGATTAGGTGAACAAAAGGTTTATTTCATCTTATTTTAGTATTTTGGAGCTAAAATAATAAAAATAAACTATCGGGTACAACACACGGAATCGTGTTTCTGGAACACATAAACCTAAGCGGATATCCTGAATTTAATTGTTTGTAAATATAACATTCCTAGTTTTATTACTTTCCTAACAGTAAAAGTCAGAAGAAATGCAAATAAGTACCATATGTATGTAACATTAAATTATTTATATTTACCAGATGCTATCGCAGAGTCAAGACGAGTCTTTCCTTCGGTGATATTGAATCTCTGAAATGTGTGTCTTGTTTTATTTATAACTTGACCAACTTGTACTAATAACACTTCTAAATCAACTGCGATCATACGAATAAAATTGAAATATTGTTGACCATCTTCCAGTTGTATTTCGCGTAATAAATTATGGTAAGCACCAGCTTCACGTCTCCTAGAAATCCATTCTCGAACCCAAATTGATCTTTATTTCTTTTTCAACAACAAAATTGTTAATGCAGCTGCTACACGTACGCGTCTTGACGGCATGATTTCACAGTACAGAATATTATTGCTATAGTACCTATCGCGACACTCGTAAACTCTCGTGTGTAAATACCTCCGCGATAAATTGAGATAGTATGATCCGCGAGCTTCTCGCAAGACATTTATTGCAGAAATAAATTGCAGGAATTAGTGCGACATGTAAACGATATTGCAAGGAACTCATGCAAGACTTCCTCGAGTTTCCTTGCAGGTGGAAACGCGGTCTAAGTTGCGACGTATGAATGATGAGCAAAGATTGCATGCAGAACTTTTGATTAATAAAGTAATATTATATGGAATTAAAAATAGGTTACAGGAAGAAACAAGTTTTTCTAATCTTGTGCCAACACAGTCGCAACATTAATCACGGGCAGCACCAAAGCCCACTGGAACAATGTCAAATCAAAGTCAACCAATAATTCCGCCAAATTTATCTCAGTCAATATTGCAACTGTCTCCAGTGGAAATTGAAACTTCTGATACAGTAATGATGATTGAAGATTACAATGTATGTAATGAAACGGATGACCTATAGCAATATGTAGTTTTTAAAAACCAGTTATGGAAACAATTATGGATACCTGTGACAACACAGTGGACCGCGCTCGACTTTTGGCTGTGTCTGAGAAGGAATCAGGTTTTTGGTTGCATGCATACCCTTCTTCGAATATCGGTACGTGTTTGGATAATTGCGCCCTTTCAATGTCAATTGCACTTCGTTTGGGGGTCAAAACAAATGAACCACATCGTTGCCGCTGTGGAGAACGAGTAAATGAAAGGGGACATCACGGCTTGTCATGTCAGAGGAGTG